TTTTTATAACAAAATCTGATGGGTTTACCTCTTATGAACTGTTTTGATGAGTGGTGGCCATAATATTTTATCATAGACTCGTCGATCGATATGTCTTCATGAAAAACGCCAAATTGAGAGAATTTTTGCATCAACATATCACACAATGGCCTCACTTTGAACATTTTGTCTTGAGAAGCACTAGCTAAACTATTGTCTACCAAATGGAGATTTCTTTTTATATCCAGAAACCGATTTCGAGAGATAGAATTTGTCACAAGTGATATTCCAAGGTCTTCGTCATAGCTCCAATACTGCCGTTCTCTAGGTAGTTTATGATATCCAGATAGGATAAGCACTCCTAAAAATCGGCGCATATCATCTTGATCTATTTCAATATCATGTCTATTTTTCTGTCCTGCATATAATAACGTATTACGTATAATCATAGCGTAAATCTCGTCATCAAATATTTTTTCAAAAATCTCAACAGGTGAAAATCCTTGTAATTGGTTAATTACCTGGCTTTTTCGTGACGAACATGTATTGTCAGGTAATTGATATGAAGTTGAGTAAGATGGCATAAATTGTCTCCACTTAGGCACTAAATCACGTGAGTCTTGGCGGCTCCGCTTGTTGGCCAAAGATTCATCATCACTGTCTTCCCATTCAGTAGAGTCATGACGTCGACGCATTACCTCCAATATTCCTGATACTTCTCTAGGTAAATCCGATAGCTGCAAGGCATCATCGCCTTCTTCTTCGTCAGTAACAATAGCTGGATCTGGTGGTAAAATCACCACATCATATTCTTGGTCGCTTTCTTCTTGCGCCATAGCATTGACAGCTTCTTCTAGGCCAATAAAATTTTTACAAGCTCGAAACACTGACATTTTATCATGTAAGATCTGCATAAAAGAGAAAAGCAATATTATATCACGTGTACCCATTGTACTAAAAAAACGATAGTCAACTATCTCAATCCGTAAATCTTAGGAATGGCAAAAAGATATATAGCATTTTAAGATTTCATTAACGTTTGATTATTATTTATTCATATGGTAAAAAAACTGTGTCAAAAAACATAATAAATACACGAAAAAATAAAAATAAAAGCACTTACCTCTTTACGAAAAGTATACTATGGCAAATACCCCCCAATGACTAAAGCAACAAACAGACGGCCCCCAGTCCCCGGCGGCCCCGCTATTCCTGGCTACGGTGACGACCATAGTAACGGCGGGGCAGGGGGTGCTAAGAATCTCCGGTGGAGGTTCGGTTGCCACCTTAGACGACTCGACCTGGCAACGTACAACGCACGCACCCTGAGGACTGACGAGAAGATCGTGGAGCTGGAAGAAGAGATAGACAAATTGCGCTGGCATATTATAGAATTATCCGAAGTCCGAAGAGAGGGGGAGGACACGGTAATCCTCGAATCCGGCAACTTGCTCTATCACCGGGAGGGCGACCATCTGTCCCAAGGAGGTGTCGGATTTATCGTCCACAAGTCTCTCGTTAACAACGTTGTAAAGATCGGGAGTGTGTCGACGAGGGTTGCGTACCTTATACTCAGAATCACCAAACGGTATTCGCTGAAGGTCATACAGGTTTACGCACCAACCTCGGCACACCCGGATGAGGAGGTGGAGGAAATGTATGAGGATATCTCTAGAGCCATGCATTCCTCCAAAACCCAATATACGGTGTTAATGGGAGACTTCAATGCAAAACTAGGCACAAGAGAGAACGGTGAGCTGAAAGTAGGGAAATTTGGAATAGGGCAACGGAACCCAAGGGGCCAGCAGCTGGCCGACTTCATGGAGAAAGAGGGACTCTTTATGATGAACTCTTTATTCCATAAGCGGCCCCACAGGAAGTGGACCTGGTCGAACCCCGACGGTTCGACAAAAAATGAGATTGACTTCATTATGACGACCAGACGACAACTGTTCAGTGATGTCTCCGTGATCGCGAGGGTGAAAACTGGTAGCGATCACCGAATCGTTAGAGGCACACTGAACCTAAACGTTAAGTTGGAGAGGTCTCGTATAATGAAGTCAACGTTCCGTCCCCCTCGTGCTCTGTTCCAAAGTCCCGAAACCTTTCATCTCGAGTTACAAAACCATTTTCAGTGCCTAGAAGACTGCAATGAAGTGGACGACGTGGAAACTGTCCATGCGGTCGGAGCTAAGTTCTGCAAGACCCGCCGCAGAAGAACACAAAAACTCTCCGATCACACTCTTAATCTCATGGCTGTTAGACGGGAGATGAAGCTACATTCTTCAACAGACTTGACAGCATACAGGCATCTGAACAGACAGATCTCCAAATGCATGCGGCGGGACTTACGCAACTTCAATACAGCGCGTATTGAAGAAGCGATCGAGCGGAACCAAGGCTCCAAAGTCTTTGCCAGAGATCTGTCTGCCAGAAAGAGCCAACTGTCAAAGCTGAAGACGGAATGTGGCAGCATCGTTTCCGAGACACCTGAGATTTTGAGTGAGATTGAGAGGTTCTATGGGCAGCTGTACATGTCATCGTTGGAGCCACACACAAGTGTGAGTAACGATCCAAGAGCGAGTCTCATCCGACACTATTCCGAAGATATCCCGGACGTCAGTCTGAGCGAGATTAGAATGGCTCTCCAGCACCTTAAACATGGTAAGGCCCCAGGTGAGGATGGAATTACAGCGGAGCTTCTGAAAGCGGGTGGAAGACCGGTACTTGAAGTCCTTCAGAAGCTCTTTAATTCCGTCCTCCATGGTGGCATTACACCGGAGGCGTGGAGCAGAAGTGCGGTGGTCTTGTTCTTCAAGAAAGGTGACAACGCTCTCTTGAAGAACTACAGACCGATTTCCCTTCTGAGCCACGTCTACGTGCTGGTTTCGAGAGTCATTACGAATCGTCTCGCGCGCAGACTTGACGACTTCCAGCCTCCCGAACAAGCCGGTTTCCGAAAGGGCTTTAGCACCATAGACCACATACATACCCTTCGGCAAGTTGTACAGAAGTCCGAAGAGTACAATTTGCCACTATGTCTGGCGTATGTGGACTATGAGAAAGCCTTTGATTCCGTCGAAATTTGGGAGGTGCTGCAGTCCCTTCAGCGGTGCCAAGTTGATTGTCGGTATATCGAAGTGTTGAAGTGCTTGTACAGTAGGGCTACGATGGCTATCCGAGTACAGAACCAGAGTACGAAACCTATCCAATTGCAGAGAGGTGTAAGACAGGGTGACGTCATATCCCCGAAACTCTTCACCGCTGCATTGGAAGACGTTTTCAAGCTTCTGGACTGGAAAGGATACGGTATCAACATCAATGGCGAGTACATCACTCGCCTTCGATTTTCCGACGATATAGTCCTTATGGCAGAATCGCTAGAGGGCCTAAGCACTATGCTCAATGACCTCAATAGTGTTTCCCAACGGATAGGTCTTAAGATGAACATTGACAAAACAAGGATCATGTTTAATGTCCATGTCACACCTATGCCGGTAGTTGTTGGGAGCACTAAGCTCGAAGTTGTTGACGAGTATGTTTACCTGGGACAAATAGTCCGACTAGGTAAGTCCAACTTCGACCGAGAGGTCAATCGACGGATTCAACTCGGCTGGGCAGCGTTCGGGAAGCTACGACACATCTTCTCGTCAGACATACCTCAAAACCTTAAAACGAAATTGTACAACCAGTGCGTGTTGCCAGTGATGACTTACGGAACTGAGACGTGGTCCTTCACTGCTGTCCGTATGAGGAAGCTCAAGGCCGCTCAGCGAGCTATGGAGAGGGCTATGCTCGGAGTTTCTCTGCGTGATAAACTTAGGAATGAGGATATCCGCAGTAGAACCAGAATAACCGACATAGCCCAACGGATTAGTAAGCTGAAGTGGCAGTGGCCCGGCCATATAGCTCGAAGAATCGACAACCGATGGGGAAGAAAGGTTCTCGAGTGGCAGCCTCGTACCGGTAGTTGAAGTGTAGGGCGTCCCCCCACGAGATGGAGTGACGACCTGGTAAGATATGCAGGAAGTCGATGGATGCAGGTGGCTCAGGACCGTGCTTTGTGGCATTCTTTGTGGGAGGCCTATGTTCAGCAGTGGACTTGTGAAGGGCTGTAATAATGATGATGATTACTCTTTTTACCCACACATTTATTTTTAGTTTTGGTATAAGGATTTCCATTTTTGCATTTTTAACTTCATTTGAAATTTCTTTATTCTCATATTTCATCGCAGTCGTAGAACAAAGACGGATCTGCAATTTAGCAATTTTACAGGAGAGCCGTCCAAAGATTTTTTATGGAATATTACTCCATATTTTTAAAACTAGTATTTCAATTAACGTGAAATTTGGACAAGTTGTTTTGTATGACGACTTTTTTAATGTGATTTACACTACAAACTCCTAATATGAATAGTTTTCGTAAAAAGTCACATCGTTCGTTGTTCTCTGCAGTATAATGTGATGTTTTTGGTTCATGACGGATGATACTTTCCGTCAATGTTCTAGGTGTAGTTACAAAAAAATTATGGGCGGTTTTGAAATATGTAGGTCTAGGAACTGAAATAACAAACAATTTATAATTTTACTTATTTTATATCACTTAAGGCACGAGAAATAGGTTTTCAAATCAAATTCTTACAACTACAAAACTAAAAAACTTTTTTGGATAATCTTAGGGAAAATGAATACCCACATACAAAAGTAAACGTATTTTATACGGTAATATTAGTATATATTTAAAAAAATATGTATTTTCAAAAGTAGAGTACAGTAATTTCAATGAAATAACAGTAGATCTTATATAAACTATTGAAATACTTGTTATAATAGACGGTATATCCCATTTATAACTTGAATATTGTAACCAGGGTTGCCAATGCCAATGTATGTAATTCCCCAAAATTCCATATGAAATTCCCCAAATTTAAGGACAAAAATCTGCTGATTCCCCACAAATTCCCCTCAATATTATTTTAAACAATGAAACAAGTTTAACCTATTTAAATAATATTTATTTTTTAACCTTTGTTGCACTTTTTCCATACGTTTGATGCAAGCATTTTGTTGGAAGGATTAAACTTGGCACTGCCGCCCAATTTTTTTATACCCTCTCTTGTTGCCATTAAAGACACTACAGTACCTGTATTTAGCCGATTGCGATTTTCTGTTTTTAAACATCGAAGCGCACTAAATTTTCTTTCGACCGACGCGTTTGAAAATGGCAATATGAGCAACAAAGACATAACAATTTTTATGTTTGGAAACATGTATTCTCCCGCAGCATTTTTAAGGCGAAATACTTTACCCCAGTAACTTTCGGCATTGATGTTATCTCCATGAATTTCAAGCCCATGTTGCTCAAAATCTAACAAAGCGTGAGTTCGCCACTCGTCATCTAATTTTTGTGCGGTCACAAATTTATAAAGCACTGGAAATCGCTTCAGCACAGGCACAAGTGATTTAATTAGAAACTGTTGAGCTTCTGATGGATTTACAGCGGATATAATAGAAAATAGAGGATCCCCAAAATCAAATCGCTTGGTAATATCTGACGTCAATTCAATATAAAACTCCTGGCAGGTTCTATAGAAATCTGCAATAGCAGCACGAGGTACATTTTCGTCATTTTTTAAAATTTCAATACTTTCTCCAGCCTTTAATCCAATATATATTTCGTTTAAACTTAGAAAATGTGTTGGGTTTTTGAAGTCTGCGTTTAAAATATTAGCACAGGACTTGATATAGCTAATTTTCATGAAATTAGAAGACAACGTTTTCAAAAGGTTTTCGACTTCTGGTTTCAATTTGTAAAGAAGGGAAGTTTCTGATTGAAACAAGACATTGAATTTTGTTACCAGTGCAAGTACGTAAGACATGAACTCCAAATATACCACAGTGAATTGGTTGTTCATTGTAATCAGCATTTCTTCGGTAGTCTTCGACGGATCTGAGAAGACTGTTTCTGTCAAGTAGGCTTTTAATGGAGTATACTGCTCTAAGACACGGTCTATACACGCTTTCAGCGAGAGCCATCGAGTTTGAGCTGGTGTGAGAATTTTGTGAGTCTCCACTTGAAAGAATTCTTGAAACTCTCTAAATTTTAGTTGTCTTTGTGAACTTCTACTGAAGTGAGCTCCAACAGAACGCAAAAAATCTTCAACGTTTCGAGGCAATTTAAGACAAGCTTTAGATGATGATAGGTGTATCATGTGACAAGAACATTTCACCAGAGCAATGTGAGGCAAATCTTTTTTAAGAAGAGCAAAAACAGAGCAATGTTCTCCAACCATCACGTTTGTGGTATCTGAACTAAACCCTACCATGTTTTCTATCGATATGTTTTTATTTCGAAGCATTTGATGTAAACAGTCATACAGTCCCTTAGCAGTTCCTGATGACAATTCCACCATATCCAGAAACAAATGCTCTACCTTATTGGTGTTCTCATCATAGACAACAGCAGTAAAACAGCATTGTTTTAAAGAGCTCTGATCAGTCGTTTCATCCATTATTAATGAAAAGAAGATTTTTTCTCCGCGTAATTTTTCATATATATCCTCTAAAAATGTGTTTCCTAAAACATTATTTATTATAGCCGTCGCCTTGGTTCTGTGTAAATTCATATTTTTAGCTATAACTGAGTCTGCGAAAATCTCTTTGCAGAGTGGGCCCAAGATGTCGCTAAATGATATTGGTATATTATTTTCAGCCAACGCTCCGGCTAATTTTAGTTCAGCTTTTCGTACATTTATTTCTAAATCCGTCACTGGCAAATAATTTGAAATTTTTGGAATATTCTGTATTTCTAATGATTTTTTCTTATGGCGATCTGAATTCATATGTCGAATCAGATCACTTTTATGCGCTATGATCGACACCGAACAAAGCATACAGTGTGCTAAATCATTTCCATCTTTCATTTTCGAATCTTTGCATAGCCAGCTCAAGAAGTTTGGTTCTTGAAGCCATAAATCGTTAAATTTATTCAGGCGTTTTATTTTTTTAGTTTGTGGATTATTTGACTCACTTGTTGCCAAGCCCACTGAAGTCAAACTGGAACTGGGAATGGGAACAGCATATTCTACTTCTATACTAGAAGTTGAAGCCTCTGATGTTTCTTTTTCGGGTTTCCTTTTACGTTCAAGCTAAAAACCAAAAATTAGGATAGTTATAATCACTGAGTTTCTGACAGACGGTAACCTGCTAATGTTTCATGATCGCACACAAATAAATAAAAAGGCTATTAATTACCTTACCTTAGGATTATCTTCTTTGTTTTGGCCTTTCATTAACCATTTATCCATATTTGTACAAGATAGTATCGTTACGGCTCGACAAAATACGTATTATAATATTATAATGTTAAGAAATTCACTATTTCACAAAACGTCAAAAGAAAGGGAATCCCCTAATCATAGTGTCGGTATACTTTCCGATATTTCTAGCTTTCATTCAATTTGGTTTATTGCGACCATAGATCAGAAAAAATATTAAGATTTTTGGCTTGGATGCTTGTCTTTTAAGCGATGTTTTCTTCTCATTCGGGATCAAAAAAAAATATGAAAGTATTTGGTATTTTCGAAAAAGTATATTAACGAAGATGTTAAAATCCCCGCATTTTCCCCGCATAATGCCAATCCCCAATAAATCCCCAATCAACTTGAGATTCCCCGCAGTTTGGGGAATTCCCCACAAATCGGCAACACTGATTGTAACTTCTCATTAAGTGAAATGTGTTTCTTTTGAGAATAAAAAAAAACAAATATCTTTAACCATATAATAGACGGTAACTAGGAACTCTGTTCGTGGTAACATTTTAAAACAGTCTTAACCCTCTATTGCATGAATTATTAAATTAAAAAGAAAAAAAATATTTTTATGTTTCAATGTGTTTTAATAGGGTTTGTAAGACAAAATATAAAGTGAAAAAAAAAATAAGTATCTTATTTTAGAAAAAAAAAACAGAAGCCAAAATTGGCTTCCCATGCAATAACGTCTGTGTATGAGACTGCCATTTTTGGCTTCCTATGCACAACAAATACCAAAACTTACACAAGGTGAAATTCTCTAAAACAGTTTCTTTTCTCATTCAAGCAAAGAAAAACGTCACATTTCTCACATTTTATATGAGAACGCAAAGAACAATCATTCTGACATAATTGACGATTCTTTTGGTGTATCGGGAAATGGTCAATTTTGTCTGTACGTACTGAATTTAGAGGTAGGTCTTGCACTTTTGCTGGGGTTTTCCGTGCCCTTTTTCGAGGTGTGAAAGATTCATTTCTACTGGTAGGAGTACCCGTTCTAGATGACGTAGGAGTATTTCCTCTTGACAAGGTAGGTGTACCGGGATTACTGATACTAGGACGGCCTCTTTTTCTTGAGATACTTTTGCCAGCCTTGCAATAATGTTCAGAAATGGCTAGCTTGAAGTCAAATAGTGACTTGTATTGGTCAGTCTTGCGTCGCCACAGTGACCAAGCATTAACTGCACACATATCAACCAAGTGGAAAAATATTTTTTTATACCACTGACGAGATCTTATTTTGATCCTATACAGACCTAACAAAGAGTCAAGCAAATCAACGCCTCCCATGTGTCGGTTATACACATCAACGCATTGTGGCGATGTTATGTCCTTGTACTGTTTATCTTTTCTGAAATATCTAGTCTTAGTAGAAGTCGGTTCACTACCAACAAACGCAGACAGTAAATTGACCACTTTATTGTCATACCATGATACCAGGCTTAGTTTTACGTCATCGACGATGGCGATTTTCTCAACCATAGTACCACGACCTATTTTCTTCAGGTCCTTTTCTGTAGGCATATCAGCGTTTGGTACTCTGTTCATCCTAATGGTTCCCAATGGCAGCAATCCATTTTTATACAGGTAAACTTGCAATTTTATACTATTGAACCAGTTATCGAAAAATATTTTGTGGTTTACATTTCGAGGCACAGTAGATGTGAGTCGTGTAACAACGTTGGAGCTGACACCAAGATCTGGTGCATCACTTGGAAAAATGTTGCTTTGATCGCCAGCAAAAATATCGAAGTCGTAACTGAACCCTGATACGCCACTCAACACTTGATTTTTGTACCCCCACTTATGAGGTTTGGCTGGATTGTACTGTTTGAGTCTGTGGCGAGCTTTCGTGGGTATAATTTGCTCATCTACGGCCAGATATTCTTCTTTGGGTATCAAAAGTAACCGCTCTCTTAATTTTTCTATGAGAGGGCGAATTTTAAACAGTTTATCGTGACTTTGTGTACCGGGTGGTTTGAAATCTTCATTATTATTGAAATGAAGATGACGTTTTATCATTTCAAACTTATTACATGTCATTATTGAATTGACTTGATGCTGACCAATGTTGTTGGACCAATACATCCGTGTAGATGGCAGGTGAACTAATGAGGTGAAGATGACAATACCTATAAATTGCTCAATCTCAGTAGTTGTGATATTTGCTGGCTTGTTAACATTGACCTGAGTAGATTTCAGATTTGACTGTTCCGTAATAAATGTTATCAAATCTTCTGTGAAAAAAAATTGGAAAAATTCGGCAGGTGATTCTAATTCTTGAGCAAACTCTGGCAATTCCAGGCTACCACTAAAATTGAAATTATTTTCATCATACGCTGGCATTTTTCCTTCAGTCCAGATAATTTTTTCCTTAACTGCTCGCTTCTGTTTGAAATTTTTAGGTCTAGGATCAACTATTTCGTCATCGGAAGTATCGGAATCGGATGGTAGAATAATTATAGGTTTTTTACGTGTTTGGTTGCGCAAGCGCGAAAGCGGAACATCGTCATCGGAATCAGATAGTGAATCACCGTTGCTAAGAGAGCCATCACCAGGAATAGGTTTAATGCAGTTAGCAGTGCCATAAAAGCGTGAAGGAAGCATTCTGGAAAGATAAAAAAAAAACTCTGAATGCATGCGAAGCCATTTTAGGCGCAAACATACTTCATCGTAAATGCATGCGAAGCCAAAATTGGCTCCTGTAGAAAATATTGAAAATGAAGTATAAGGAGCAAATATTTTGAATAAACTGTGATAGGGGTCAAAAACAGAGGTTTTGCAGAACATTATTTACATTTTTTAACATCAATTTTCTTACCTTTTCTATTTAATTTCCACCAACAAAGCTGCAATAAATTCACTAAGAACGACGTCGCGTACGCACCGGAGAAAAGTGAGGTTATAATGACACATGACGTTGGCCATAGATAATAAAAATTACGTTTCGGTTCAGTTTGAATTCCTTAATATTACTACATTGACATTTTATAATTTTGTTTAAAATTAGGGTAGAAATAAATTACTAAAGTTGAGCAGCCAAAATTGGCTTTGTATGCAATAGAGGGTTAAACTTTTCTTAGAATAATGTAACCCACATAATATAAACTAATCAGACTCAAAATTCTTTGATAAGTTTTATTTTTTAGCAATCGTCATCATCATCATCAGTACCATCAGTATCTCCTGACGCTTCTACTGTGAGACTGTGTGGCAAGGATCGAAAATAAGGATGGTATTTTTCTGGGATTATTCCAGTCTCGCAAAGGCTGATGATATCTTTATATTTATCGTTTGTAATATCATTTGACCCTGAATAAGCATTTTTAATTGTTTCTGTTATAATATTTCTTGTCTCCTTGCGAATTATTAACGTCATTGAATCATCTTCTAGGCTATATTTATACTGCATTTTATTAGGTTGACTTTCTTCAATTACTACTTCTCTTATTCTTGTCCACATCATTTTTTCATTTTGTGTATTCTTTGTCCAGTTTCTTTTTTTTAATAACTCTTTAAAGTTATAAACCTGTTCTCTATTAAGATCTCTTACTTCGTATGGATTCTCAGATTTCGCTCATCTTATTAGAAGCTTCCACTCTTCCGGAGTATAAATGACTTTATGCCCTCCAGCTCCTCCGATCACCGAGTGCACAGAGTCACCCTCGTTTTGAGTGTGCCCCTTTTCAAGAAAGCGGTGAGTAATAGTAACACCAAACTTTTTGGCCACATGACTGTAGAGTGCAAACATAATACAGTTCTTATTTTGGCCAGCACAGTTGTCTGACCAAAACCTGAAGTCCTTTACTCCTTTATCAGAAATATCTTTCATAAAATCATATAGACAACTAGCGACCTCATTAGAGCCTCGTTTCGCCACACTTTCGTCCCACATATAACAATATCCCTTTTTTGTAGAAACATCAAATATTGTAAAATTGTAGCAAGACAGCTTGCGTTTGTAATAGAGTACACTCATCTGTCCATGTGGACACGATAAAACCTTTTGAAAGTCGAATGTTGCACATAAAATCATACCGTTTGATAAAACAGCTACATTTTTGTCAGAATTTTTTAGCTGTCTAGCAATAGTCTTATGTGATTGATGTCTTTTGTGTTGTACTTTCAATTCTTCAGAAGGGTTTTCAGTCTGTTTAAAAATATGGCATTGGTCACAAGTATCTTTTTTAGGAATGTAAAATGATAGATTAAATTGACTGTTTACAATATCTCGGTACTGTCGGAGAGTTGTAGCTTTTTTCGAATACTTGTATAAGTCCGGCCAGTCATTATATATCATGAACATGCGAGCCACACTCAGACTGCCTTCTAAATAAAGCCTTTTTGACCCTTTCCGACAATAGTGCGATTCTATTGGCACGAAAGAGTTGACATGAGCGCATACGGATAACAACATTTCGTTATCAATTACTATTTTATGATTATTGTGACGCCCTCTCATGTCTTGTTCGACATCTGAGCTGCCATCATGTTTTTGCCAGGCAGTTCTTGCTGTACGCTCGCTGATACCCAGAGTGTTTAAAAACATGATTTTGCAGACATCAATTTTGCCATAAATGGTAGTGTTATCAGTTTTTTTCGGTAAATAATATTTATATGTAAATACTCTTTTGTGCTTTAACTGTCGTGCGAATGTCCTGTTTTTCGGTTGTTTTTTTGTATAGTTAGCTACATACAACCATTGCTTTTCTTTGCTACCAAGTTCCCAAAACCTGGTAAAAATCTGAAGACGCTCTACATTTGAATTTTTTTTTTGTACATTGAATTCTGCATTTGCATGGAGAACCCATTATTTTAGCATCAACTATACGCCCTCTTTTTGAAACATACGTTTTGCCTTGGTTTTTTAGGTTTTTTCGCTTTATTTCTCCCCAATCATCATATTTTCGAGTGCGCTTTTTCCCTCTGTTTTTTAAAAACGTTGAACACGATGGAGATGGTTGGTTAGAGTTTGTACCAATAGTAGATACTGAAGG